GATCTCTAGTCTACTCCTAATAAGGATAAATGCATACATACCAGAAACAAGGAGGGATGAATTAAAGGAGCCCATCTATTCAGTGCCAGGACGGAGTACTGAAACAGTACTTTACAAATTGACTTTTCTGTGCAGTAATATCACACAGACTACGTAAGACTAACATCCGTGCCACTTCTGCCTTGAGATTTTCTTAAGAGTTTTACTCTGCATTGGTCACTGTCACCATTTAATAATGCTGTCTTATATATTCTATTTCAAGCTCTAAATGATCGTTTAAAGGGTAGAACAGCCATTTTTGCATGAAAACCGCTGCCTCTTCATGCAGTGATAGATGCTATTGGCAGGTCATCTGAAGTGTTACTTCTAAGAATGATGTATGCAGTTGATGTTTTTTTCAATATTTTGTGTGTTACAGTAGCTTTCGCCAGAATAGGGCTCTTTACTAAAACACAAAGGATACTGAGTCATAACTGTTCCAAAATCGGGTGGTATCTCAATGCTCTGGCATGGAGCATTTAAAATATCACAGTCCATGTCCTTTGTCTTTCTTTATCCTATCTAGTAAACAGGGCTGCCTCATCCTTTAGAGTAGTGGTCCTCAACCTTTTTGACATCAGACCAGTTTCATGGAAGAAAATTTTTCCACAGACAGGGGATGGGACCAGCAGGCATTAGGTTCTCATAAGACTCAGGCAATCTAGATCCTTTGCTTGTGCAGTTCACAATTCGTCCGTCACTCATCTCCTGCTGTGCAGCCCAGTTCCTAACAGGCCACAGACTGGTAGCAGCCCAAGGGCCGGGGGTTGAGGACCCCTGCTTTACAGTATTAGCATATGTTTCATTTCCCCTTTAGATGAGATGTAGGGTCTGATAGTTTATATGTTAAACAGGACACAGGAAAGTACCCAGTGCCAAGGTATCTTTTACAATCCATGTATCTTCATGTGTTTGTGGAAGAGAATAGCATGATGTCCAAGGTCATAATGCCCAATGATAGGGGATAACCACCCTAAGAGAAAAGGTGACATATTTATTCTGACTCTTATGACCATTTCCCACCTCATAGTACACACTGTGAGTATTTATTATGTTGGAGGCGAGGAAGGGTGTAAAATTTCAAGTGGATTGAAGGATGGAGTGCTTGGAATCTATAGATTTTTTTTTTTTTTTTTTTT